TATTCCTGGCGGGCTTTTTGAGGGCGACCCGGCAGCGTCGGCCGAATGGCCCGCAAATACCGCGCGGCCGATCGCGCGCCCACGCGGTCACGTCGACCGCCGTGTGCCGCGACGGCCGCGCGCCCCGGGCCGCGCCATTGCCGCGTTGGATTGGACGGCGCAGCGCCCGTTTTCCAAAAGTCGTTACATGCATATCGCGCGTGTCGAGCCAGCAGCAATCGCTCCCAGAAGCAGCCTTGACAGGCGCCCCATGCCCGTTGTCGCCCGGTTCCGATCCAAATCATAGTTTCTTAGGATGCGCTTGCGCGAATGTGAGAGCGCGCGGGCAAGTAACGCGTGCGCGCCCTTGGCGCAGCCTGGGAAATCCAGCGCGTAGCCCCCCGGGGGCGCGGGGCGCCGGCGACGCCTCCGCCCGCCTCCCGCGCGCCCGACCCCCCCCGCAAGCCGACTCCTCCTAACTAGGGGGGGTGATATCATGGCGTGGGCCATGACATCTCCCCAGATTTCATGGCGCCTCTTCTTATTTCATTACCTCCCTGGCCCCCCCGCTCGGCCGCGCACGTGCCGCCGGTCATGACTTGCACCCCCCCTCTTGGACACCCCCTTCTTGGCCGCTCCCGATTTTCGGCGGCCTCATCTTTGGACTCGGCCACGAGCGGCTTCCAGAGCTCAGTGCTGCTCACGGCGTCGACCTCGATCTCGACGTCGCCCTCGAGCCGACTGCACGTCGCCGCCGTGGAGCCACGCGCGCTCGACGGCGTCCACCCGGAGGTCGCCCTCGAGGTGGGGTATGAGCCTCGACCGCCGCCCCGGCCCCCCCGCACTCGGTCTCGGCACCGTCGCTCGCGTCCATGTGGATCGGCGGCGAGCCCGGGGGGAAGTGAGAAGGGGCGGGCCTTCTCGCAATGCTCGGCAGCCCCCGCGACCTTCCTTGAGAAGTGTTCTGAGCCTCCTCCGAAGGCCTTCTGAGAAGTTTCGCTGCCTTCTGAGACCCTTCTCCTCGCCTGCGGCGAGGCTCCACATCTTCGGCTCGGCAGCGCCCGTCTGGGGGCCCTGCGACGTTCGAGCTGAGGTGTAGCTATCTCTGCCCACCCCTCGGCGGTCTCCATTCAACGGCCGCAGCTATCGACTCGACTGCTGCTGCGCCACTGGCTCCCTGGTTCCCCTCTCGCCGCCGAGCGTGGAAGCGCTCCGCCTCTTGCGAGCCTTCTGACCGTCACCGCCCTCGCTGGGCCGGGCAGGCCGCGCCTGCCTCCGCAGCTGGCTCCGGCCACGCCGCCCGGCCGCCGCCTGGCAGCCGCTCGGGGCCACCAGCGAGGAGGGCCATCGGAGGCGAGCGCTACAGTCAACCTGCAGAAGAAGGATGGGCAACCTTCCCGAGTGTACACGCGGGTCGTTGAAAGTAGGTATTTTGGGATTTCCAGATCCCAATCTACTTCAAGCGCCTTCCTACTTCAAGAATCGACACGCTTTTGCTGTGTTTTGTTTTTCTCTGGGGGGGGGTCTGGACCCAATCAATTTAATCCGCCTTCCTACTTCATGTTTTTACCTACTTCTTCCGACCGACGTGTGCCCTTGCATCCTTGCCTCCTCGGTCAATCCTTCGCCACTTTCGTCGGCCGCGCCCCGCTCAAAAAGGCTTCGAAATGGGCGTCCAAGGCCCTTGCAGCCTTAATCGCGCACCCTTGCTATACGGGTTGAAGTTCGAAGTTCTGAACTTCGGGCTGGGCTGGGGTGCTCTGGTAGGTAGTCATGTTCTGGGTGCTCGAAATTGGTCCTGGGATGTGATCCGTAAGTGCGATGGGAACAACACTCAGGAGGGGAAAAAAAAACACACAGACACAATTAATCGACGATCCCCTAGAAAATATGGGAAAATATGGGAAGTGAGGGGAAGACCAAAAACCCAGAAAATATTGGAAAATATGGGGAATCCTTTTATTTGTGTGTATTTATTTGTGTGTCCCAGGGCCCCTTCACACATGGCGAGTGAGTGGAGGACGCGGGCGCGGGCGCCGCCAGGTTGCCAGATTTCTAGCCGCGCGCCGCCGCCGACGACGCGCCAATCTCTCCCGCTCCGCCCCGGCGAGCGCACCACCGAGCGAGACCCCTCACGGCGCGTTTGGGTGGCGCCACGGGCTCGGGCCAGACGGGCTCGATGTCCGCACGGCTTCCCCTGCCATTCCAATGTGGTGTGCTTGCGTTCCACTGTCCACCGCCAACGCCAGAAGCAGGAGGGGGAGGTCCTCTCGCTGCCTCTCCTTCTCCTCCTCCTGTTCCTCCTGCTCCTCTTCGTCCTCCTCCTCATTCCCGGTGGGGCCGGGTGAAATTCCGTGCGCGCCGGCTGACTGATGACTGACTGACTGAACGTCAGGGGACAGCTCGGGAGACACATTTCAAACCGCCCGCGGGAGCGCAACCCGGCGGCGCAACCGCAACCGCGACCGGGCGACGCATTTCAAAGCGCCCGCGGGAGCGCGCAACCGCAACCGCAACCACAACCGGGCGACGCATTTCAAAGCGCCCGCGGGAGCGCGCAACCGCAACCGCAACCGGGCGACAAATTTCAAAGCGTCCGCGGGAGCGCGCAACCGCAACCGCAACCGCAACCGGGCGACGCATTTCAAAGCGCCCGCGGGCGCGCAACCGCAACCCAACCGGGGCGACGCATTTCAAAGCGCCCGCGGGCGCGCAATCGCAACCGCAACCGCAACCGGGCGACGCATTTCAAAGCGCCCGCGGGCGCGCAACCGCAACCCAACAACCGCAACCGGGCGACGCATTTCAAAGCGCCCGCGGGAGCGCAACCGCAACCGCAACCGCAACCGGGCGACACATTTCAAAGCGCCCGCGGGAGCGCGCAACCGCAACCGCAACCGCAACCGGGCGACACATTTCAAAGCGCCCGCGGGCGCGCAACCGCAACCGCAACCGGGCGACGCATTTCAAAGCGCCCGCGGGAGCGCGCAACCGCAACCGCAACCGCAACCGGGCGACACATTTCAAAGCGCCCGCGGGAGCGCGCAACCGCAACCGCAACCGCAACGGGGCGACACATTTCAAAGCGCCCGCGGGCGCAACCGCAACCGCGCAACCGCGGCGGGAACCGCAACCGCAACCGGGCGACACATTTCAAAGCGCCCGCGGGAGCGCGCAACCGCAACCGCAACCGGGCGACACATTTCAAAGCGCCCGCGGGAGCGCGCAACCGCAACCGCAACCGCAACCGGGCGACACATTTCAAAGCGCCCGCGGGCGCGCAACCGCAACCGCAACCGGGCGACACATTTCAAAGCGCCCGCGGGAGCGCGCAACCGCAACCCAAAAAAGCAACCGGGGCGACATTTCAAAGCGCCCGCGGCGCGCAACCGCAACCCAACCGGGCGACACATTTCAAAGCCCGCGGGAGCGCACAACCGCAACCGCAACCGCAACGGGGCGACACATTTCAAAGCGTCCGCGGGCGCGCAACCGCAACCCAACAACCGCAACCGGGCGACACATTTCAAAGCGCCCGCGGGAGCGCGTAACCGCAACCGCAACCGCAACCGGGCGACACATTTCAAAGCGCCCGCGGGCGCGCAACCGCAACCCAACCGGGCGACAAATTTCAAAGCGCCCGCGGGAGCGCGCAACCGCAACCGCAACCGCAACTGGGCGACACATTTCAAAGCGCCCGCGGGCGCGCAACCGCAACCGCAACCGGGCGAGGAGGGGGGGACGACGACGACGACGACGACGACGACCAGGACGACGACGACGACGAGGGCGAGGAGGAAGACTGAGCAACAGCAGGGGGATGGGCTGGGGGGGGGCAGGAGGCGGGGGACGACAAGGAGAAGAAGGAGGAGCCACTGGCGGAGGGCCCGACGACGAGCCCCCGCGTGGCCCGCGGTTCTCCGCCGGGACATTGCAGCGGGGAATCCCTATTCCACGCTGCTGCCTTTGATTTTTTACCTCCTTCCCCCTCGAACTTATTGTTGTGGTGGAAAACAGGCCCATCACAATGGTTTGCGGTGGCTATGTCAATGGCGTCCCAGCAGTCATCCAGCAATTGCCAATCTCAGGTAGACCAGATAGCTAGAACGGAGTAGGGCACGTAGAGAAGGGTAGACAAGAGTAGAGCAGAGTAGAGAAGAGTAGACGAGGAAAGTCTAATAGGTTAGGGCATGCCAGAGCAGAGTAATATTAGAGCAGAGTGGAGTAGAGTCGGCCAGAACAGAGTAGGATAGAGTAGGAGTATAATAGGCATAGGAGTAGGAGTAGGAATCGAGTAGAGTAGGGTAGATAATAAACGAGTAGCGAAGGGTAGAGTAGAGCAGAGCAGAGCAGCACAGTTGAGCAGAGTCGAGCAGAGTGGGGTAGATGGTAGAGTACAGGCGGATGGAAACGAGTAGAGTAGAGCAGCGAACAGTAGAGTGGAGCGGAGCAGAGTCCACCCCAGTCCAGTCCAGTCCAGTCTTTTCTAGTCCAGCCTACTTCCAGTCCAATCCACTCCGCTTCTGTCCAGTCGTCTGATCTCCTTGGGTCCTCCGCTTGCCGGTGCTCGCTTGGCTCCCAGCCTTATGATGTTCCAACCTACTTTAGCCTTGGTCATCAGAACGAATTCCGAGCGCACAAAAAGTACCGAAACTCGAGGGTTTTCGCGTGTCGGGCCCTGGGAGACACTCGCCCGACACCGACACTCCTTCGACACTTTTCTGGGTGCTCGAAATGATTTCTGGGACGTGCCTCCTTTGCGTGCCTCTTCTGCGGGTCGGCTCGGGTTCCCCCCCTCCTCCTCCTCCTCCTCCTCCTCCTCCTCCTCCTCCTCCTCCTCCTCCTCCTCCAGCCGCCACCACGGCCCTGGTCCCCCCTGCCCACCAGGCGGCCCTCCGACCCGCAGTAGAGGCACCATTGGGGCGACCGTGGCCTGGCTGGCGCGCTGACCGCGCGGAGTGCCGCCTCCCCTGGCGGAGCACCGCTGGGAGGGAGGCTCGCACGCTGCCGCCCGTTGGGGCATGCGGTCCGCGCTGCTGCTGCTCACGCTCGCGTCGGTGCAGGCCGCCGACCACGCCGAGACCAACACCCGCTCGTGCTTCGTGGGCTGCTGGAACCCGCACAACCTCATCGGCGCCTTCCGCCTGGACGAGGTCAGTTCCGTCCTCCGCTCGGTCGGCGTGGCCGCCCTGCCTGGCACGGGGGTGAAGGCCTGGCAGAACGAGGCACATCACGCGGCCAACGCCGCGCACCACCACGTTTTACAATTCGGCTGGCAGAGGGGGCTCATCACGAAGGCCTGCGGCTGCGCCATCACGATCACCCAAAAATGGTTCGGGAAGAACGCCCTGCGGAGGATCATCACCCCGCCAGCGTCGCTGCGCGGGCGAGGCGGCCTGGCCTACGTATGCTCGGGACCTGTGATGATCGCGATCATGGTGCTGTATTTCCCCCCTCCGCCCCTCGAAGGCGGGTTCGGCGGCGGTGCACCGCGACACGTGCACACAGCTGCTGAAGTGGGCCCAGGCGGAGTACGCGGCCATTCCACAGCGCTACACATCGATGGTACGCATGGACCTCAATGGCGGCCTCAATTTCTCAGGGCACTCCGACGCTGTGGGCTGTCACGGCACGCCTGTGGAGTCCCCCATTGCGCAGCGCCTGCACGAGTGGATGGAGACCGTCGGCTTGTGCGCGATCAACACGTTCTTCCCGTGCGGCAATACCTTCGAGGGCAACTCTGGGGCCAGCCAGGTCGACTACATCCTCATCCCCACGGCGGCCCGCCCGCCGGTTAGTTGGGCGGCCGCGTGGAGGCGGGCTGCGCAGGAAGGGCGGGCGATGGCAGCGGTACTCGACCACATCCCGATTGTGATGAAGATGAAGATGGTGCCGCCGATCGATCTCACCCCGCTGCGCGAGAGGTGGGACCACACTAAGCTCCGCGCGGCCACTTTGACGGGTGATGGCCGTGAGCCTTTCTAGGGGGAGGTTCAGACATTCTTGGAGACACACAGGCCGCCCTTCGACGTGCTGGAGAGCCGTGAGGTCACCACTGGCCACACCGCACTGCTGATGACGATGGTCCGAAATGTAAGCCTCCGGCACTTCGCCCAAGCACCCGCCCACGACCCACGCAAGGAAACGCTGGTCAAGCGGAAATGGGGCCTGTTGAAGGCTAGGCGGGCGCTCCTGTCCTCGGTCCGCGCGCGGGACGTTGCGGACGAGACCGCTGTGGAGGGCGCCGCGAGCTACACCCAACAGATCAAGGCATATTCGGAGGCGCTGACGAGCCACAGCAAGCACATGCTGGAGGCCCGCCAGGTGCACGCGGAGGGCGAGCTAGCTGAAGCGTGGCAACGGCGGGACATGGCGGCGGCCCCCAGGCTGGCGGGGTCGCTCGCTAGGACGGCTATCGGCATCACGAACCGCAACTGCCGCGCGAACCCGTCCTTCCCCCCGTCCGTCGGCCCAGGAGTGAAGCGCCTTCTTGCAGAGGCCACCGCTGGAGGGTGGCCTTGGGGGGGGGGGGGGGGGGGGGCGCCCCGTGGCGCGCAGACATCGGGCGAACGGTGCGACCAGCTCGCCAACATTGATGACTACGCACACCCCGACACCTACGAGGTCCCCCCCCCCATGCGCAAGCAGGCCCAGGAGGACTTCACTCGCGCGTGCAAGGCGATCAGGAAGTCCATCTGGGCAGGTTTGCGCCGAGGTGGTACGCCCCAGTTGAGCTGTTCAAGATCCTCATCAACCCCGCGTCGATCAGCATGCCGAGTGACTGCTGGGAGAAGACGGCTGGCCTGGGTTCGTGCCCTGCCCCTTGCGGGGCGAGGGCCAGAGGGCGGCGGGCCCCCTCGCGCAGGACCAGCTGGTGCACCGGGCCAAGTGCGGCGGGGCGGCCTACAGGCTCCTCCGCCTCGCGGTGCACCTCAGGAGGACGGGCCCCCTCCCAACTCAGGCCTCGCTGTCCCGCGGCTTCGCGCTCGACGAGAAGAGCGGGAAGCCAGGGCCTGCTGGGCGGCGGCCGCTCCACGCCGCGTGCCCTTGGTGGAGGGCTTACGCGCGCGGCCAACTCATGCGAGGTGGCCCCTGTCGCCCCCCGCCCTGGGCCTTCGCGTGCCGCGGTCGGAGGCGCGAGCACCTGATGACCTGCACCGAGATCATGGCATGGAAAGGCGCGCGGGGGGGCCAGCCGATGTTGCGCGGGAGCTACGACGCGACGAACGCCTTCGCCCGCGGGTCGAAGACCGAGCTGGAGGTGGGCATTCGCGAGAGGCTGGAGACGGGCCCCGAGCTCGAGGAGAGGGGCATCGCCTTCGCCACGCACATCACGAGCACCAGGCGCCCCAGGCTCACGGTGGCGCTGGACGCCGCCGATGAGCGCCTGGCCGCGCGCAGCGGCAGCGGGGGGTTCATGGGCGACGCGTCGGGGCCTGAGATTTGCATGCAGAACTACCGCCATGCTGTTGGGGCGTGGGTCGACTTCGAGCGCCGCCAGGACAACGGCGACACCGCCATCACGTTCGGGCGCTTCGAGGCTGTGGGCGCGATCGCGGGCGCCTTCATGGGCGACGCCTTCAAGACACTGCTGATCCCCAACACGGTGTGTTCCCCAGCGGCCGTGGCCAGGGCATCCCTGGCCAATGACCTCTACCTCGACCAGGCTTTGGCGGCGAGAGGCCACGCGCAGAATCGAAAGAAGCAGGATGTCGCCCCCGCCCTGGGGTCGAGGCAGCTCACCCGCCTGACGACGGAGTCGCTCTTGGCGTCGGGCTGTCACGCTGGCTACGGGCTGAAGCACTTGGGCGCCTGGCTCAACGCGGTCAACAGCAACGCGTCGGAGCTGAAGGCCAGGATCCAGGCGATCGACCGCGGCTGGATGACGGTGGAGGTCTTCTGGTACCCCCGCGCCCCCCGACGCGCGAAGAGGCCCATGTTCATCTCCCTCGTGTCGGGCGCGGCGCTGTCGGGCACCGCTGCTATGTGCTGGACTGAGGGAGGTGCAGGGCGCTCTGCTCGTTGCTTGCGAGGAAGCTCCGCTCCTTGATGGGCGGCGCGGCGACGGAGACGGACCACGCGCGCACGCTCACCACGAGGGGCGTCTACCGCTATTGGCAGCTGGTGCCATTCGCGCTGGGGGCCACGATCCAGCGCCTGAAGATGTGGCAGAGCATCCTGAGGAACCCTGGGAACCACTCGTCCTTCCTGTCGGTCTTCGCTGGCTCCATGAAGTGGGAACTGGAGGCCGAGTGCGCGTGCCCACCGGCCCTTGCACCGTCGGGCGAGATCAACGACCACCCTGGTGTCCACCCGTGGGCGGCACAGCTGAGGCGTGATCTTCAGATTGTCGTGGGCCACCCAGAGGCGGAGAGTTTTGCGACGTATTGGGGCGGCGACGTCTACGAGCTGGCCTGTGCCCGCGAGGTCACCGACCTGTTCCTGGCCTTCGACCCCCGCGCCTTGAGGACTGCCTTCATGTCGACGGCCTGGCGGCCGTCTGATGCACTGGCGGATTCAGTGACCGCAGAGGCCGATGACGAAGACACGCGGGAGAATCCTGCCCCCGCTTTCTGCTGCAACATCGCCTTGGGGGATGGTGAGAGGCGCGGGGCGTCCTTCAAGACACGGCCCGCGCTCGTCGCGCACGTCGCGCAGAGCCAGAGGGAGGGGCACGGAGCTATGAGCATCTTCCACATCATCACGCCCACGAACGCGTGCATCAACTGCGGCACGGCGTACCAAACTCGCACAGAAGCTGTGCGGCACAGATCTCGGTCGTGGCGCGCTGGCAGGTGCATCAGAAATAACGCGCCATATGCATGCACGTTCGACATGCCGAAAGAGCTGCACTGCACGATCTACGACATCACGCTGTCGTCGTACCCTGCCCTCAGCAGCCACTTGTGCCCCCACCTGCCGCTGGCGCAGGGAGGCAACCCAGCTTCCGTCGTGGAGCCCCGGCCGCCCCGCCCACCGCCCGCGCAGCCACGGCGGCCAGCGATGGCCATCCCTGGTGCTGGTGGGCGGGCCCGTGGCAGCGAGCGCCGCGCGCTGCCGAGCGTCCTGGTCCAGGGCGACGTCCTGCGTCTACTCCTGCGGCGGCAGGATGACGGCTGCGGCGGCTCTCCCTCGGGAGAAGGACGTGCCCATGCGCCCGCCGTGGCGCGCCCCGAGGGGGGGGGCCCTCCTCGGATGCTTCAGCGACTGGCGGCTCCGCGCCCAGGCCCGCCGAGGACCGCAAGAAGCAGGAGGTGAAGGGCGGTGGAGGTCTCGCTCGAGGAACAGCAGGGTCCGAGGGCCCTGCGCCCAAGCCGAGGGGGGCTCGCCGCGGGGGTCGGCGCCGCGGCGCGGCCGACAAGGAGAGGAAGCTGACCACGAAGGATGGCGGCCTCCGCGAGCTCCTCCTGTTGCTGACGACGCAGATCACGGCGCTCACGCAGAAGAGCAGGTCCACGTGGGGCATCCTGACGCGCGCGATCATCATCGAGGACTCTAGCCCCGTGGTCAAGGGCATGCAGGACGAGAGGAAGGCGTTCGCCGACCAGGCCCAGAACCTCCGCAGCCGCGTCGCCAGGCTGAAAGACGAGCCCAGGAAGGCCAAGGACAAGGTCGCCGAGGTGGCCATCAACAAGGAGGCCGACGAGGCCCAACAAGAGTTCCGCTCCTTGGCCCCCCCGACGATGGCGGTCTTCCCAGCCATGGTGGAGTCGATGACCAGCCGCATCGCCTGGGAAAGTGGACCAACGAGATGGTGGGCAACGCGCCCGACTACGTGAAGTTGTGCAGGCTCGAGAATTGCTACAACGAGGGCCAGATCAAGATGGTCTTCTCCATCGCCAACCAGGCGCGGGAGAACATCCTAGTGGAGTCCTTCAGGTCCCTGGGGGCCCAGGTGACGACGGGCCAAGCTCCAGCAGGATACGTGGAGGAGGAGCTGAGCGCGTGGATCGACGTCCTCAAAGCCTAGCCGATGATGCCGAATCATGATTCTGACGTGTGGCCTCGCACTGACGCCACGGACAGCGAGTGTAGAAGACCTGAGAGGTCTTAGTTTTGTACCTGTGCTCAGTGGCCCTCGTCCGCCGCCTGTCGCCTCCTCTCCCTTTTCGGCCTCCTCGGTCGCGTCCCTCGGGCCCTCGGCTCGGTGCGCTCCCCTGTCGGTCCCGTTCGTTCGGGCCCCTCGTGGCTTGTTCGGCCCCGCCCTCTGTGTGTGCGACGCGGTGCAACGATGTAGCGTGCGGATCACTTTTTTGGCACGCGAGTTTCCCAGAGGCTGGATAATCCATTCAATGGCTGCGTACTCCTCCTCCTCCTCCTCCTCCTCCTCCTCCTCCTCCTCCTCCGTCTCCGTCTCCTGCTCCTCGTCCTCCTCCTCGTCCTCCTCCTCCTCCTCCTCCCGCCTCCTCCTCCTCCTCCTCCTCCTCCTCCTCCTCCTCCGTCTCCGTCTCCTCCTCCCCCTCCCCCTCCCCCTCCCTCTCCTCGTGTGCGTGCCTCCCTGCTCGGCCCGCAGCACCTGGAGGGCCGTGCTCGGCTGCCCCTCGCCCTGCGAGCCCGGCCGTGGCCGGAGGCCGTGTTCTCTGCCGGGGGCCCCGCGAGCGACTCCACGCGGAGGCGCGCGGCCTTCCGGGGCGCCCTCGAGGGCGCAAACTTCTTCGCGCGGCGCGCTTCGCGGCTCGGCTCCGATTCTTCCTCCTCCTCTCCCCCCCCCCCCCCCCCCCCCCTGCAGCGGCGCGAGAGCGCGAGGTTATTCGCGCTTCGCGCAGCGCGAAGCGCGAAGTTGGGTGCCCTTGGTGGCCTTCCTGCCGCCCGGGCCCCCGCGTGTGTCGTGCCTCCCCGCCGCGGGGGAGAGGCCGTCCGCGCTGTGCTTGGACCGCTCGCAGCGGCCCCTGCGTGTATCTTGGGCAGGCTAGGGAGGAGGAGGAGGAGGGGGAGGAGGAGGAGGAGGAGGAGGAGGAGGAGGAGGAGGAGGGGATGGAGGAGGAGGAGGAGGAGAGAGAGGAGGAGGAGGAGGAGGAGGGGGTGGAGGAAGAGGAGGAGGAGGAGGAGAGGAGGAGGAGGAGGAGGGGGTGGAGGAGGAGGAGGAGGAGGAGGAGGAGGAGGTGAGGGTGGGTGGCAAGCTAGGTGCGCTCGCCTCATAGCTAACTTTCTACTCCTCCCTTCCGTCCCTTACCACGGCTCAGATATCTTCCTTATTCGCACTAGCGGGTGTCTTAGCATGGCATAGCATCACATGGCATAACATGGTGTTGAAGATCAACGCGTAGCATGACATAGCATGGCGTGGCGACGTCCCAAAGTGAGGGGGGGCTTTTGCGAACCCAGAATTCAACGAATCGGCACCGAATGTGTAATCACTTCCGAGGGTTTTTTCGGGGGCCATTGTCTAGATTTTGTTTGGAGCTTATTTGGAAGGACCGAAAACCATACCGTGGCATGGCGCTGGAAATAATGACGTCTGCGCTGCAGCGGGAGCACGATTCGGAACGAGCGGAAGCGCGGAAATGAGGCCAGCGTTGCAGCGGGAGCACGATTCGGAGTGAGCGGTGGCCCGAAAATGAAGCCAATGCCTCAGCGAGAGCAGCATTTTGAAGCGATCAAACGTTTCCCGGGAATCCTGTCTGTCAAAGACCAGTACGCGAAGTGGGCCGGCCATTTCGCGGACGTCACCAGGGGAGAGAGGATCGGTGGCCCCCAAACGGTGTGGTGACCACACCGTGTGGTTAGTCGGTGGGGATTCGGAGTCACCGCACGGTTTTGGGTCTCGAGTCCGTATCCCAGGATGTCTCGGGCGACAGGGGCCTCCAGGGTCCCAAGACCGTGCGGTGACCGACCGTGCGGTGAGGTCTCTTGGGGTTCCGAGGTCACCGCACGGTCTGTCACCACACAGTTTGGGATCCCCATGAGGAGAGTAGTATTCATATTGTAATTGTGGGAGAGGAGGGGGAGGGAGAGGAGGAGGAGGAGGAGGAGAAGTAGGGAGCAAAACGGCTGCGGAGGAGAAAAAGGATGAGGAGGAAGAAGGAGGGAGGTGGACGAGAGAAGAGGGATATTGATAGGAGAGAGGAGGGTAGAGGAGGAGGCAGGAGGGAGGAGGAGGATGAGGAGGAGATCGGGGTGGACGGAAGGGTGATAGCTGAAGGGGCCCAAGGAGAGGGAGGAGGAAGGAGAGCAGGAGAGAGGTGGGAGTATGTGAAGAGGATAAGAACGTCTTGAGGAAGAGGACGCTGTGTGATGATGAGGCGGAGGAGGGAGGAGGAGGAGACAGGTAGGAGGAGGAGGAGGATGCTAAGTCTCCGTTTCCTCTTCTTCGTCCGTCTGCTGCGTGCACTCGTTTCTTCCCCGACTCCGCCTTCCTCTTTTCGTGCTTCCTCTTTCTCTTCTTCAGCGCTTCCTTCTTCTTCTTCTTCTTCTGTCTTCTTCTTCTTCTTCTTCTTCTTTCGTCCTTGCTTCGGTCTTTTCTTCTCTCGTCTTCTGTCTTCTCTGTATGTGTATTCCCTCACCTATCTCTCCGGGGGGGCGACCCATTCTCAACCGAACCCCCCACCCTACCCTACCCAACGCCCTTTCGAAAGCACACAACACCCAACGCACAATGCACAGTCTATCTCAATGCCTACCTTACAAGGCAAATCAAGCAATGAGAAGGAGATCAGGAGGAGAAAGAGGAGGAGGAGGAGGCGGAGACGGAGGAGGAGAAAGCGGAGGAGGAGGAGGAAGAGGAGGAGGGCAGGAGGATGATAGAAAGGGAAAGGCGGAGAAGGAGGAGGAGGAAATGGAGGAGAACACGGAGGAGGAAACGGAGGAGGAGGAGGAGGATGAGGAGGGAGAGTACAGGAGGAGGAGAGAGGCAGGAGGAGGAGGATGAGGAGGTTGACGAGGACGCGGACGATGACGAAAAGGGAGAGGACGAGCGTGAAGCCAAGGCCGCACAGGAGGGGTCCGCCACGGCCCGCCCTCCAGCCCCTTCGCCGCGCGGCGCCGGCGGTCCGGGGGTAGGATTCGCCTGGCTCCGCGCAGCTTGCGGTGGTCGACGCGTACTCCGGCAGCGCGGCGACCTCCCGCCGCGATGACGACGACGACGACGACGACGACGGACGGTGCCGACGATAGGTGGACGACGACGACGATGACGACGATGGCGACGACGACGACCACCGTCGGGGCGCGGAAGAAGGAGGAGGATGAGGAGGACGAGAAGGAGGAAGTGGAGGAGGAGAAGGCACGTTGAGAATGAGGAGGAGAAAGATGACGAGAAGGGCCGGACGGGGAGTGTGAGGAGGAACAGGAGAAGAGCGTTCGAGGAAGACCAGCGAAGACGAGGTGGGAGAAGAGGATATGAGGTGGATGCGGAGGACCAGAAGATGAGAGGGTGGGAAGAAGAGAGGGTACGAGGGGGAGAAGGATGAGAAGGAGGATAGGCTAGCAGGAGAGAGGATAAGACATAGGAGAGTGCTGACTGTCTTCATGTATTGCCTCTCCGCTGTGGCTGTTTTCGGTGCTTCCGCAAGGATAATGCGCAACTCTCTACCGAGCAAACGATGAGGAGGATGAGTACAGGATGAGAAGTAGGAGGAGGACCAAGGAGAGGAGGATGATGATGTTGATGTTGATGTTTATGTTGATGTTGATGATGATGATGATGATGATGATGATGATGATGATGATGATGATGATCATGAGGAGGAGGAGGCGATGGAGGAGAAAGGAGGAGGAGGAACGGCCAGGAGGAGAGGAGGAAGTGCTGGGGCTGGAGAAACATGTGCGCAGGAGGGGAAGGCAAACACGTGGAGTACGAGAAGGCAGGCACACACATACCAAGCGTCAACCAATTCAAAACCACGAATGGCAACACTGATTGTTTTCTTATCCGTAAGGGCTTCGCCCCATGCCGCCGGCCCCCTGTTTTGGATAATGGAGGATGCAAGAGCTAAATCATGGGGTCTGGGCGCCGCCGTGAAGCAGTGTCGGGACCTGTTTGTTTTTCGACCCGGACCCTACGGATCTGCGAGAGGGGTGCCGCCGAATTTCAGAAATCTGGCAAATCCCATTTGTTTTTGGACCCTGACCCTGCCGATCTGCATGAGGGGTGCCGCCGAATTTCAGAAATATGGCAAATCCCGTTTGTTTTTGGACCCTGACCCTGCCGATCTGCGTGAGGGGTGCCAGCGGATTTCAGAAATGTGGCAAATCCCGTTTGTTTTTGGACCCTGACCCTGCCGATCTTCGTGAGGGGTGCCAGCGGATTTCAGAAATGTGGCAAATCCTATGTGTTTTTGGACCCTGACCCTACGGATCTGCGTGAGGGGTGCCAGCGAATTTCAGAAATGTGGCAAATCCCATGTGTTTTTGGACCCTGACCCCGCCGATCTGCGTGAGGAGTGTCACCGAATTTCGGACATGTGGCAAATCCGATGTGTTTTTTGGACCCTGACCGGGGTGCCACCGAATTTCAGAAATGTGGCAAATCCTATGTGTTTTTGCACCCTGACCCCGCCGATCTGCGTGAGGGGTGTCAATTTTTACCAACCCCAGCAATTCAGAGCACACGCTCAGGGCGTGGTAAAAATGCCCGTTTTGGGCCTCCCCCCCTCGCGCGGTCCATCAACGAGGAACAGTAAGCAGCAAGAAGCAGAACTGTATCAGTGGAAACTGGAAGCTGCAACTGGTACAGGAAACTGCGAAGCTTCGGCCTACAGCCTGGTGGCCCCAGAAGGGGGCCGGCGGATTCATCGTTGTGCTGATCGGCGCGGGCCCTCGGACCCCCCCCCCCTCCCGCCCCCTCTGTGGAGTAGATTTTGGCTGTTTTTGGAGCCTGTTTCGGGCAGGTGGAGCCTCCTCCATAGGACGCGCTGCTGCAGACGGGTGCGTTCGGCAAAGGTCCAGAGCCAGGATCCCCTCTCCTCCGCAAAATCTTCTCGAGACGCCGAAGAAGGAAACGTTCGCAGTGAGAGGAGCGCCAGAGGCCAGATTCCGGGCCCAATCAAGGACACGACTGTACTCGGGGGCGGAAAAGAGGGGGGTGATGACTAGGGGGGGGGGGATATCATGGCGTGGGCCATGATATTTCCCCAGATCTCATGGCGCCGCTTCTTATTTCGTTGCGTACCTGGCCCCCCCGCTGGGCCGCGCACATGCCGCCGGTCATGATTTGCACCCCCCCCCTCTTGGACACCCCCCTCCTGGCCGCTCCCGATGTACGACATCGACCTCTCCTGTTCTGGGTGCACCCAGCCCGGTGGAGCGTGCCTCAGTTGAGGAGCGAAAGAAGGACGTACATGTACATGAATCCACGCTGGTTTCGAGAGCACGCATTGCGCAAATGTTCGTATAACGCGGCCGGTCTCGCGGATCGAGGGGCCGTGTTCATGTACATAGCTGGGCGCGTACGTCCTTTGTGGGCTCCCTGGAGCACCCCGCCCGGTGGAGCGTGCCTCAGTCGGGGCCTGGCTGCGGGCCCTCGGCCCGCCGCCCTGGCCCTGCCTCGGCCGCGGGCCGCCGGCGCGCCGAGCGCAGGCGGGCGGCGTGCAGATCCACCAGGGCAGGAAGAGGAGCAAGGGCGGCGAGGAGGCCCGCGGCGGCGGGCTGCTCCCCAGCAGGAGGAGGAGGAGGAGGAGGAGGAGGAGGAGGGAGAAGGGAGGAGGCCCGCGGCGGCGGGCTGCTCCCGCCCTTCGTGGGCCCGGGAAGCGGCCGGGCCGTGTTTTTTCTCGCCGTTTCCGAAGCAGTCACCACCCACCAAACCACCCCAACCAAACCCGAAGGCTTAGATTTGCCCTCGATTTCTAGTGGGGGGGGGGATCGGGGAACATCGAAAAAACACGTATGGAGCCCGTTCCCCCCCCAACCCGAAATTGGGGTCTTCGGGTTGGGTTGGGGTGGTCTGGTAGGTAGACACCTTCGTGGGCCCCGGAAGCGGCAGGGCCGTTTTTTTTCGCCGTTTCCGAAGCAATGCCCCTGGAAGGTGGAAGCGGCGAGAAAGCGGCGACCAGGAAGGGCAAGGAAAGCCGGAGCGGGAACCCGTAAAAACACAGCGACGGAACCGGTCAAAAAACGGCGTCGGAACGGGCAAAAAACCGGCAAAACGGAACCGGTAAAAAGACGGCCTTGCCGTTTCCATGGCCCACTAAGCTCCTTCCACTCGGCGGGGGCGTACTCCGAGTTTCTTGACAAGCGTCGGGGGGGCGTCACCCCCGCCGACAGCCCCACATCGACCCCCGTCGCGGGCAGCCACCGCGCGCCGAAGGCGCTCCGACCACCCGTCGCGGCGCGGCGACGAGGCGAGGTCGACCCCCGTCGGGGGGGACCCCCGTGCGACCCGCTGTTTGTATGATTCCAATAAGCTTTTTTTGTTGAATTGCCTAGCGATTGGAACGCTATTGATCATCAGTTTACTCATCATGCTTGCTTCATCGTATTCTTTATTTCCCTGATCATTCCCCGTACTCCCCCCTCCACATTCCTCCCCTCCTCCCCCTCCTCCCGCGCCGAGGTTTTGGTTACAATCAAACGAGGTTTTAGCCCACATGGGGAACCCTGAAAAAGGCACGAACACCTACCAGGCGAAACTACAGAAATGCGCTGACTACAAAGCCAAAAAACGCCTCGAACAATTTAGGCTTCAGCCCCGAACGCGGCGCTTGATGGCGGAGGGCGCCCGCGCGGCCGCAGTGAAGCTCAAGAACCGCCTTGAGCAGGCGGCCAAGCCAGGGTACAGCGAAGGGGTCCCATAATTTTTTGATTTCATGAAGACCAACGCATCTCTAACGCCACGGCGCCAGTCTGAAATTACATTGTGTGATACGCCAGAGAAATGGGACCTGCAGAAAACGCGGAGGATCTTCCCGAGTCTCAAATGCGTGGGCGGGGACCGTCTGCGCGCATGGATGAACCTCGTGAAGTTCACCAAGGAGGGCGACCAGCTGAGCTGACATTTCAAGAACATCGTTTTGAAGTTCAATGAGAGACCGCCGCCGGGCCTAAAGGCGAAGCGCTATTTCGATGGAAGCCAGCCGAGGGGTCGGAAGCGCGTAGACTTCGAGCCGCGCCCCGCGGAGCTTCGCAAGGCTTACGAGCGGTTGCAGAATGCGGCTTACCAGAGCAAGGCTTACGTGAGCCACGGGCAGTGCTGCGTCGACATTATGGCAGCCATGAGCCAGAACGCGAGGTCGTGCCAGATATCAGTTACAGGCCGCAACGCAACGTGCACGGTCGGCGATCTTCTTTCAGGACACATGGCGCCCGCAGAATTTTCTTATTAGCATAACGTATCCGCGTGCAGGATGGGAGCGGGCTTGTCGTGTCAGTATGGAACTATTTTTAATGGAGCAGCTATGTTCCAACTGAACGCATACAACGCTAACGTGTTCTCCTCGATTCGCCAGCGTTGCGAGTTCACGTTGTGTCTGTTCACGCTCGGCAAGGCGGTTTCGTTGCACATGAATAAAACGGCGCCCGGAAGGGATGTCGAAGCTTTCGCCCGTGTCTTGCCACGCCCGCGCCATGGCTCTCCTGCGGCGGCAGCTTGGGCTAGGGCACGTGAAGATGCCGAGCTCAAAGTCAGTAGAAGAGTGGCAGCACCCCAAGGTGGCGAAGACGAGTAACAAGCGTAAGCGCAGCAGTGCCGCCGCGCCTACAAAGCGCCAGGAACGCTAGCTGGATGCCGAAGGCTTAGACCTCACGTTTTGTTCTCTGTGTGAACGGTGGCCGCATGCAAAAACAATCGAACTTTTGCGCTCATTTAGATTGTCGCATGACTTTCGGCCAATTCCGCCGCCCCGCCTGAGTGTCGGCTCGTTCGGTGTAACAATTGGTTTCGTGCTTGGGGATTTACACATTGATTTTAGTTGTTCGGGTTTTCACATTGATTTCGTTCGATGGGGGTTACACTTTGATTTTGAGTTTGTTTTTTCTCCAAGGACCGCGGCAATCATAATCAATGTGTCATTCATTTTCAAAGTGATTCTGATTTTCGGGATTCCGAAAGCTGCGACAATCAAGATCAATGTGTAATCAATTTACCAATTGATTTTGGTCGTGGGGATTATCAGAGGCAGCGCCTTGGGCCGCTGACGCTTACCATGAACCAATCCTAAAACAGGTGAAACACATTACGCAACTTGTGTTTTCACATGGAAAAAAACCAACGAACACCTGTGACTGTCGTCTTTCTATTGATAAGAAAACGCTGACGGTTACAGGTGTTCTCCAGTTTTCTGGCTGTTCCATGTGAGAACATGTGTTTTTGTTGTGTCGTGTTTCATGTTTTTCCTTTGTTCCTGGTAAGCTTCCGCGGCCCGAAGGCGTTGCTTCTGGAATTCCCCACATGCATTGCCAATGTGTACATGTATTACACATTGATGTTGATTGTCGCTGTCTCTGGAAATCCCCACATTCAAAATCAATTGGTCGGCCATATACACATTGATTTCGACTTTGGGGGATTTCAGAGGCAGCGCTTGGGCCGCGGAGGCTGGCCAGGAATACTGGAAATCAAAAAAAAAAACATGAGAAAACAGGTGCTTCCACGCGGACGCTAAAGGGGGCAGCATGAACCTATGTAACCGTCAGCGATCTCGTTTGTTTTACCAATAAACATGGCGACGGTCTCGGTATCTTTCTCTCTTATTTCTCCATGTGAAAACACTTGCTGGTTTTTGGTTGTCCTGTTTTTTCTTGTTGTCCTGGTAAATTTCCGCAGCCCGAAGGGGCTGCTGCGTCTGGAATTCCCCACAACCAAAGTCAATTTGTACATGGGTTACACATTGATTTTGATTGTCGCTGACTCTAGGAGACCCCGCAATCCGACTCAATTTGTAAATTGGCGACACATTGGTTTTGATTGTCGCCGCCCGTGGAAAACTCGTATCAATTTGTAATTTGAGTTCACATTGCTTTTTGATGTGGTCACTTAGAATTGAACTCTATTCTGGTGTTGTTGAAATAAATTGTCAGAGGGGGGATGAAAACATTGAATATCGCTGTGGGGATCCAGAAAAACACCAGGCTGTAATCGCACGAGCGGCGGGTCATGCGGTGTACCCCCCGCGCTTATTAAGAAACCCATGGTAAGATTCGATAAAGCCGGAACTCGGGCTTGCCTTTTTGTTGACGATCGTGTCCTGGGCTTGGGCGGTCCAGTTGTCGTGGGATATTTGCAGCGGGAGCATTCGCGTGGGATCTCACAGTGGGCCTCGGCATTTTGCGCCCCCCGTGCCCAGGTCTGACGCCTCCCCAATCCATGCTGGCATAGGTGTGCATATGCGTGCACGCCGCCAGTCGATGAGGGCAAGGTGTGTCTGGATGTCCAGCTCCCAGTCTATTTCAGGCGCCTTCCTGCTTCAGAAGTCGATAAATGTACATATGTATGTATATATATATATGTGTATATATACATATGTATTGTAGTGGCCTCCGGCGGCCAACGCCGCCGATCCGGGGTGCTCCGGATGATGATGCTGATGATGATGATGATGATGATGATGATGATGGTAATGATGATGGATATGATGATGATAGTGATGTGACGATGGCGATGGTGATGGTGATGGAGATGGTGATGATCCCGCCCCCCTTTCACCCTCTCTCCTCTCTCCTGTCCCCCCCTCTCTCCTGTCCCCCCCGCCCCCCTCTATCCTTTCCCCCTCCCTCTCTCCCTTTCTCCTGTCCCCGCTCTCCTGTCCAGCCCCCCCACTCCCCCCCCCCCCCCCCGTGTCTTGTCCCCCACCCCCTCTCCCCCCCCCCGCTTTCCTGTCCCCCCCCCCCCCTCTCTTTTCCTCCCCGCCCACCCTCTCTCCCCGTTCCCCCCCTTTTCTCCTGTCCACCCTCCCCCTCTTCCCCCCTTTTCTCCTGTCCCCCCGCCCCCCTCTCTCCTGTCCCCCCCCCCTCTCCCCCCCCCTCTCCCCCCCTTCTCATGTCCCCCCCCCCCTTCTCCTGTCCCCCCCCGCCCCCCTCCTGCCCCCACCCCCTCTCCCCTTTTCCCCTTCCCCTCCCCCTCTCTCCTGTCCCCCCCCTATCTCCTTGTCCCCCCCCTTCTCTCCTGTCCCCTCCCCCCTCTCCCCCCCCCCTCTCCTGCTCCCCCCCCTCTCTCCCTGCCCTCCCCCCCCTCTCTTCTTTCCCGCTCCCCCCCCCTTTCCCCGTGTCCCACCACCCTTCTCTCCGTCCACCCCTCCCCCTCTCCCCCCCCCCCTCTCTCCTGTCCCCCCGCCCCCCCCTCTCTCCTGTCCCCCCCCCTTTCCCCCGCCCCCTTTTCTCCTGTCCCCCCCCTCTCTCTCCTGCCCCCCCCCTCTCTCATTCTTTTCCCCCCCCCTCTCTCCTGTCCCCCCCTCCCCCCCTCCTCCGTCTCCTGTCCTCCCCCCTCTTATCCTGGGAGTAGGCAGGGTGGGGGGAGGTGCCAAGCACATAATTTGTCGGATAATTACGTCACCCCCTCCCTCCCTGGCATGGTGGGGGGAGGTGCCGAGCACATAATTCGTCAGGTAATCACGTCCCCCCCCTCCTTCCCTCCCTCCCAAGCAGAGCTAAAGTTCATGCTGAAGCAGAGCTTCAGCGTAGACTTCTTAAACTCACACGCCGGATCGGCGGATACATGCTTTTGCTGTTGTTTGTGTTGCTCTCGTGGGCACGCTCTGACCCAGGTCACCTAGTCCGCCTTCCCACTTCATGCTTCTGCCTCCAACTTCCGCAGGGCGGGCAGGCGTGCCTCTGCACATCCCTGGCCGCTTTGGCTCACGCCGTCTAGGCTCGGGTGGCCCTCGCTCGAGCCGCCGCGGGCCGCGGGGTGAGGCGCGCGGCCGGTGCTCCTGCGCCCCGCCGGGCCCCGTGCTGCCGAGCGGCCCGGGATGGGGCTGCTCCCCCACATCGCGACCGCCTCCTTCGGCGCGGCGCCGCAGGCGGCCGTGCTCGTCGGGGCGCTGCTCGGCCTCGCCGCGTCGGCGGCGCTCCTGCTTTACATCTTCGTGTTCAGGGGCCTGATCGGGCAGCTCTGGAACGCCTTCGCAAGCCGGCTCCAGTTGTCGGACCCTGCCATGAAGGAGGAGATACTGAAGAGGCTCAGCAGCGAGCGTCTGCACCACGCCTGCTGCATGAACATCTTCGTCACGGGGTGGTGCTGCACAAAGATCGCCATCGTGGTCGCGAACATCCTCTCGGGAGCCGCTCGGTGGCAGACCTTCTGGCAAGACGCCCTACTGATATTTGCGACTTTTGCTTGCGTCCTCAGCCACGTGGCCATCCAGCAGAGGCAGCGCAGCTCGACGGTCACCGCGGTGTACGTGACCTTCATGATCTGGCAGACACTTTTCATGAGTTCTGGCCCCGCCGAGCAGCTGCCCTTCGTTGCCGCGGCGGGCTTCTCGGTCCTCATCCGCGGGCTGTGGAGCCTCGTGTGCATGAACTGGCCCTTGGTGGGGTGCCTCACAGCGCTCCACTTCGTCTGCGTGTGCGCCGGCTTCGCGCGCACGGCGGCCTCCTGCGCCAGTGACGGCCAGGTGGAGAACGTAGATGTGGTCAAAGTGTTTGTCGGCGGCGAGCTGGTCGGGGACATAACGATACTCGTGTTCGCCCCGTTGTGGCGGCACTTTTCCTGCCTGCGGATTCTCCACGAGATCCAGGCGTCCATCTCGCAGAGCGAGAACGAGGCCGCGAGGAGCCTTCTCAACATCGTGTGCGACGCCACTGTGGAGCTTGATGGGAATCTGCAGATCATGGACGAGACTTCCCGCCTCGCGAGCCTCCTGCAGCACGGCTGCGACCGGTCTTTGAAGGGCGTAAGCATCCTTCAGTACGTCGTGGAGGAGGACCACCATATGTTTACCGACCGCATGAGCTCTGCTGGCGACGAGTCTGTGGCGAACTTGTTCCACGCGCGCGTGCGCGACGGCATCAGCAACGTCCTTAAGATGGAGATCTTCCACGTCCCGGTCACTGGCTGCCGCCTGAGGGCCGACTCCCACCTGATCGGGGTGCGCGAGTTCGCCGACGTCACGGAGGGCGTGGGCACGCTGTGGGACGGCGAGCGGGGGCCCAAGGGCCAGCTTGTGCGCGCCAGCGATGCGCCGGACCCCCCGCACGCGCGCAGCGAGAGCGCGGGGCCCTGGTCCTCGACGTCCTCGGAGTCGTCTTCAGGCAGCCGCTCCTCCCGCTGCCAGGGCGAGCTCGTCGCGTGCATCGACGTGGTCTCCCCGCGCTGGGAGATCAAGCACTTCGCCCCGAGCCTGGGGCTCTTCCTCGGCGCCGTCCCCCACCGCAGGGCGCGCGAGCTGCTGCGGTGGATCAAGCCCGAGGACCGGGGCTCCCTGATCGGGTGGGTGCAGGACAGGGCTCGTTTCGATTCCTCCGATTCGGTTCGATTCGATTTCGATGGTTTCCGATTCCGATTCGATTCGATCTGGGATTCCGATTTGAGTTCCGATTTCTTATTGGAGGCATACTAGCCTGCCGATTTCTGCCGATCCGACTTTTCCCGACTCAGCTGCCGATTTCCGACGATCCGATTCATGTCGATCGCCGATCCGACTTGTCGATCCGATCCTGGGCTCTCCTGGTGCAGGAGGCGTACCAGGACATGCGGGCCCAGCGGGACGAGGGGCGCGCGGACGTGCGGGCCGCGAGGAGCTTCCCCGCGGGCCCCGTGTGCTTCCGGCCCCCCGCGGTCTGGCACGTCAGGGCGAAGCTCGCGTACGCGGCCAGCATCGCGCTCGCCCTGCCCGACGAGCGTGACGACCAGAGCTCCATGGCGCGGCTCATCTTCTCGGACGTCTGGGTGGTCCAGCAGAGCAGCACCCTGCACGAGCTGTGATATTCCTCCGACCCCTTCGCGCACTCCGCGGCTCGCAGTGCTGAATTGCCGTGACAGGTGAAAAGTTTGCTGCGAGGGGTCATCCTGCAGTCGTTACCACATCCGCTGACCAGCAGCACACCAGAGGCACCGAAGGTACAGTGGAGGCCCATGTCAAGACACACCCTGCTTGCCTCCAGGGTGCCCTGGGTTTCTTGGGTTTCGACGGTTTTGTTACGGAAAGCGTGACGTTCCCACACCAAAAATCCATGGACGTCCTGGGGTCTCAGGGTTAGGTTTCTTGTGGAAGATTTCTTGTGGACTGGCCTCCACTGTACACTCGGGGCCCCCTCCCCTTCCTGAGCCCCCCCGGAGGTTTCCCCAGGCTGCCTCAGGAGGCTCCCGCAGCTTCAGAGAAGCTCGCATGGGGACCCAAGCGGGTCCCACGAAGCCCCTGGGCTCCCCGGGAGGCTTCCGGAGCTTACAGAAGCCCCAAGAGGATCCAAGATGGCTCTGAAGTGGCTAGGGCCTCTCTGGTTGACCCAGCAGGGAGTCCAGCGACAAGCGGGGGTGCAATAGATCTGGTGCAATCTATTTGTGGGGTTGCAATAAATACGGGAAGTGCAATACATTCCGGAGCGCAAATCTATTGTTGGATTTTCGCGTGCAATGCATTCGTTGTGATACATTGCAATACAATTCTCGAGCGCAATGCATTTGCAATCCAATTGCCGCAAATCTATTGCACCACCCCCTTTCAGCTGGACCCCGTTTGGGTCAACCAGAGCCTCGCACGGGCGCCCCCGAGGGCTCCAAATCGCTCTGACACGGTATGTGTTCTCAATGTTTTTCGCTCTCTCGCCGCCTCGGTTCCGATCGGGTTTTGAAGCCTTCAGATGACCCCCAAGAGATATCAAGAACGGGCCCAAACCGGGCCAAGAGGCCCCCGAGACGGCCCCAGGACAGCCCAAGGGGCCCCCAAGAGTCCCCCAAGAGGCCCCAAGAGGTCACCAAGAGGACCCCAAGGGAGCTCCACGAAGGCCCCAGGAGGCCCCCCGAGCCTCCCCAGAGGCCCCCTGAACGCTTTCGGCGCCAGTATAGCCTGAAGGCTCCCGAAAGGCTTCCAAGATGCCCCTCAGAGGCCCCTAGGAGACCCCTAATGAGCAAACACGAAGCCCCCCTAGCGGCCGCTATAGAGACTGCAAACTATTCGTTGCAAGCCTCCAAACGGAGACGCCTCCATCAAGGAAGGCATGCACACACTCTTCCCTCCACTCCGCCTCATTCTCCTCCTCCTCCTCCTCCTCCTCCTGCCTCCTCCTGCCTCCTCCTGCCTCCTCCCCCTCCTCCTCCTCCTCCTCCTCCTCCTCCTCCTCCTCCTCCTCCTCTCCCCCTCCTCCCTCCCTCCCTCCCTCCCTCCCTCCCTCCCCCTCCCTCCTCCCTCCCTCCCTCCCTCCCTCCCCCCCTCCCCCTGCCGCCCGCCGCCCGCCCGCCCGCCCGCCCGCCCTCTTCCTCCTCCTCCTCCTCCTCCTCCTCCTCCTCCTCCTCCTCCTCTCCTCCTCCTCCCCCTCCTCCTCCTCCTCCTCCTCCTCCTCCTCCCCTCCTCCTCCTCCTCCTCCTCCTCCTCCTCCTCCTCCTCCTCCTCCCCCCAGAGGAGACCCCAGCGGTGCCACTCGAGCCAGGAGATCCGCAGGTGGAGCCGAGGGACCGCAGCGAGGAGGGACCCCCACGCAGCAGGAACGCCGCGGCCCACTCGCCCGTGCCCCAGGCGCGCCGCAGGCGCCACCGGGAGCGGGAGCGGAAGTCCAGATCTCGCAATCGCCCCGAAGGGATGGAAGCGAGGCCAGCGAGGCTCCGCAGCGATTGAGATCGAAGTGGACTGGACGCACGGTGCAGGGGGAGCGGGCCACACCACCTGGAGGCCCCCCCTTGAGCTCCTGGCGTTGGTGGCGCCGCTCTGAAAGGGGGGCGGGGGCATGGGGCTCAGGCCGCGAAGCTTCGACCCCTCATCGCCCCCAGGGCCTTCCCCGGGCTCCCCCAGGAGGCCCCTGGAGTTGTGCAGAAGTTCCGTGAAGGCCACACGACGGACCCAAGAGGGCCCCAGGCTGCCCCTGGAAGTTTCCAGCGGCACAATGAGGCCCCAAGGGTGTCCCAAGAGGCCGCAAGACTGCCCGCACAGGATATCCGAGCGGGCCACATCCGTCAAAATCCGAAAGGAATCCCAACGTCTTTCGTTTTCTCTTCGAGACCTCCACTTTGGTGTGAAAGTGAGGCCCCAGCAGGTCCGAAAGGAACTCAGCTCTGGAGTCCCTGCTGCGCGCAGTCCGGCGCCGGCCGTTCGCGTCGTAGCCTCTTTTCTTCCTCCCTCCTGCTCCCGCCGGTTTGCCGACGGCCGCAACTCTATGAATCTTAGGCTTCGTGCCCTGCCCGCCATCAGCGCGGCGCTTCCTCGCCGGTCGGGCCCGGCGGTCGTAGTGGAGGTTGAGAGTTATTCAGGCAGGTCCCGTCCCCCTGCCTCCCCGCTTCTCTCCTCCTCTCGCGCCGCTGCTGCTCCTCCCCCTCCTCTGCACGCGTGCTGCGTATCCGTTTCTGCGACCAGGGTGCATTACTCAGTGTAATGTGGTGTTTATGTTTTGCGGCTGATTCGGTCCCCGGGTAACATATCCACGATTGTTTGTCGTTGGCCGTGGCCAGATGCATTGCAGTGTGTTTCAGCTGTGTTGTCTTTGCTTAAAACCCGCACCATTCCTTGGGTTTCTGCCAGCTGTTAGTTCCATGCTGAATCATCGTGTGCGCTCCCTTCCTCTCCCTCAAAAAAAAAGAAGTGAAAGTGAGGCCCCAAAGTGGCTTCGGAGGCCCTGCGTAACGGTCTCGAAGAGAGCTGCAGTACTGCCCGAGGATGGCCCAAGACCGCAGCGAACACGACACCTCAGTGCGACTTCAGACACCAGAGCGTGGACTTCCAAGCCAAGGGCCCGATCATCCCCCCGTCAGTCTAGGCGCTGGAAGCAAAAAGCGCCGGGCGAGCTGATGACATTGCGCGGGGGGGAGACAGTCTCAACTACATCATGCTGCACATGTCCTCCGCGCGCAAAGCGGCCTCGGACCGCGACCCGCCAGGGGCCGCGGCCGAAGTCAAAGCACGCCAAGGTAACAGCAAGTCCCCTCTCATTAGCCTGGGCGCACAGCGCTGGCACGTCACGGTGGCCACCGCACCCGCGAAAGGAGGGCGACGGGACGTCGTGCGCCGGTAGCATCTCGCCCCACACCCCAGAGAAAGCCGATCGTCTGCCCCAGCAGGTCCGAAAGCAAGACAGACCTCTAGCGCTCGCAGATCTGGGACCGACCAACACCGATTGTCCAAAAGGTTGGCCAGCTTGGGCGGGACGAAGCAAAACGCCTCCAAAACGTCGCGCAAACAGGAGCATTTCCGAAGCCGTTTTCGCCATTGTCCCCCTGGCTTCGGATTCCTCGCGCCTCCTCTCTCCTTCCTCTCTTGCTCCTCGTTTCGGCCCGCCTTCCCTGACTTCCACGCTGCGGATGCGGCTAACTATGAACATTGCCCACGCGCCTTCTGGACACACGGCGCCTTCTCCTTCCGCCACCGCACGATTTGGTCAAACGAGACCAGCCACTGTGTGAAGACCGCTCCACTCCTCCTTATCTCCATATATCCTGCTATCCTCTCGGCTCAGGTATTGAACATCCTCTTGGATACTGTTGCGCCCGCTCTTCATCGGGCGCGAGGATAAACGATCTCCATACTTTCTTCCTCATCGCCCCATACCTACGGACCCTCTGGTCGTTAACGTCCATCCACAGCCACCGAGCATGTTATTTGGGTGGAGGGCAAAGGGTGAAATCTGAAATGCCGTTTCGATGGATTTCCGAAGCTCGACTTTGAACAAGAGGAATCACAATACGGATTGATACCCGAGGTGCAGACGCCCATATGGATTCCACCCTGCACCCTCCACCCGAAGGAGATGCTCAGAGCCGGCCCTCCCTCCTGCAGCGCGCGGCGGAGACGCAGGTGCTCAAGCCGGGCACGGTCGTGGCGCTCACCTCCGGCGAGTACCAGGCGCCCGGCGCGCCGCTGGCGGGGCGGGGGGGGGTTCTCGAAGGGCGGAGGGGTCTTGAACGATTGGGCTTAAAGTGGGGCATGTCCCTCTACAGGAGGAATGTTCAAACATAGTCGAGAAACAATCGGGGGACGCTGTTTTGAGTATGCTTGGGCATCCTGACGATTTTTCTTTCGTCCAACATCCGCCTGCAGGAGCACGCGCCCGACCTGAGACTGGGCTGCCGGATCCAGGATCGCCCAGCAGATCCCAATCCCCGTGCCCATCCCCGTCCCCGCCATCCCACCACTCCAGTTGGGGATATGCCTACGTAGGGTTCGTCGAGGCTTCTTGCGCCGTCTTGGGGCTCCTTCGGGACTGTGTCGGCGCCGTCCTGGAGACCTCCCGGAGCACCGCGGACGCCCGGGGCAGTCATGTCCCTCATCGGGCCTCCCAAAAGTCTTCCCCAGAGACGAGTTAGGAGGAGGAGGAGGAGGAGGAGGAGGACGAGGAGGAGGAGGAGGACGAGGAGGACGAGGAGGAGGAGGAGGAGGAGGAGGAGGAGGAGGAGGAGGAGGAGGAGGAGGAGGAAGAGGAGGACATACCGACCAAAAGTCTTCCCCGGAGACGAGTTGGGGAAGGACAGGCATCCTTCACAACGGTATCCAAGGAATCGGCGAACTGTTCGGCCTTCTCTGGCGTGCTGCGACATTTCCCACACAGCGCTTGCAGGGAGGGATCTCTTGTGCTGTAGAAAGCTGTCCCCATGTGCAGTACCCTCTAGTCACCGTTTGGGTTCCCATGGATTTGTTTGCATGGGATGCCGCACTTTTCATCCCGAAAAGGGTTCCTTCGGAAACACTTGCCCGGGATGCCGCAATTTCTGGTTACCGCTCAGGTTCATGAAGGTCCATGTTGGTTCATTTGCCCTTGGTTCTGCACCGTTCGATCGCCGCTTGATTTCCTGAGATTTTGTGTGTATTGTTCCCATGGGTGCCGCACTTGCCGGTGCAACATCACCACCACAGGCATCAGCCGTACATGACTTGTCGTATCAGTTTGTGTCAGCGGCTGTGGAAACGGCCAAATCGCATCGAGCAGATGGGAAATACTCGTGTCTTTCTGGGAAGCCAACTCGCATCAGCAGGCATGCCGCCATCCGCGCTTCTCCTAGGGATCAAGCATTATTTGTGCGGGGGGGGGACTAACGAGGTGGACCTGCATACAGCAGGCTCGCGCCGTGTGAACGCAGCGTCGACCCGTTGAAGACGACGCTAGTGGTCCGTGTTCGGCCGCTGTGGCACGTTCTTCTTGCGCGGTCGGAGGGCCGCGGGCGCTGCGCGGGCCGCCACGACAAGACTTGGCATGGGCTCGGCCCCCCCTTGCCCTGCGCTGGCCTAGACTAGGGAGGGGGCCTCTGGTTCAAAATCTTTGATGCGGGCACACCACCCTGCGTACCGAGGCCTACACACCACATCAGGACACGCCCCGCCCAGCGAGAGGTCACCCTGAAAGAGGCGCGCGCCTGTTGGTTCTCCCCCCCCCCCTCGTCTCCACACGAGGGGGACTGGCGCCCATGACCTCGGATCGTTCGTCGGCGTGCCGGGGCGGTGCGTGCAGGCGTCGGCCCTCGCAGGGAGGCCGTGCACGCCAGCGGGTGGGCGTCGGCACGCAGAGGCTCCAAGGAGGACAGCTTGCGGACAAAAAGCAAGGGCGCCCTCGAGGGCGCGAAGTTATTCGCGCTTCGCGGTTCGGCTCCGATTCCTCCTCATCCTCCTCTTCTCCCCTGGGAGGCGGCGCGAGAGCGCGAAGTTATTCGCACTTCGTGCAGCGCGAAGCGCGAGGTTGGGAGCCCTTGATAAGAGTCCGACGGTGCTCGCCGATGGCGTGGCTGTCCTCCCCCGCTCTCCCTGGCGTTATGATGTGCCAACCTCCACGGGGGAACCATGCCAAGAAACACCCCGCTTGCCCCCAGGGTGCCCTGGGTCTCTTGGGTTTCGGTTGTCTTGCTGTGGAGTGCCCGACCTTCCCACGCCAGAGATCAGGGGACATCCTGGGTTCTCAGGGTTGGGTTTCTTCTGGAAGGTCTCTTGCGGTCGGGCTTCTACTGTACTTTGGCCTCGATCGCCAGAAATAATCTCGAGCACCAGGGAAGCACCGAAACCGGAGGAAGATTCGCGTGCCGGGCCCCGGGAGGCGATCCTCGCTCGACACTGGTTCGACCCTTTCGCGGGTCCTCGGACTCATTTTTGGGCTGTGGTCCTTGAGCACGACGCGAACAACATACGGTAGGTTTGCGTTGCGCCGCCGACGTTCAACGTTGAACGCCGCGGGCGACCCAGAATCGTTCGATGTTGAACATTTGGACGCTGCGGAGACGGCCGATCGTTCAAGGTTGAACGATCCCCGCGGTGTCAGAAACCAACGCCGAAGTCGGCACGACACGGACCTGCCGTACAACCCTGGCGTGCCCCGCAGGTCGAATTGGCGGACGGTGAGGACAAGGCTCCACCGCTCCACGCCCCGGCAGCAGCCAGCGGTCTCGCAGCTCGCAGCGGGCCGCAGGGGGGGAGCCCAGGCCCCGCTCGGATCCCACCGATGCGCATCGATGCCGGCTTCGGCTGGCCCAGTTTGGCTCGACTGCGATATTCCGACGAGCCGAGTGGAGGAAGAAAAAAAAAAAACGCCCCAAGCATACATTTTTGGCGCCCCGCGCGGACTTCTTGGATCGGCGCTTGGCCCCCCCCCTCTGGCGGCGCCTCCGGCGCCGCCCCTGGCGCGCTCGGCGCGCCAGGGAGGGGGGTCCAGCGCAGATCCAAGAAATCCGCGGGCAGCGCCAAATGTTTATGTTTATGCTATTTTTTTTGTTCTACCGATGCGGCCCCGTGATGGCACTGCGTCGTCGTGCATCCTGGCGCGGCCGACTCGATTCGATTCCGACTTTGCCGATGCGGCAGATTCAATGCGTTTTTCACTACGACCCGGTTTCCCCATTCGATGTTGACTGATCTTGCCAGCCTCATATCCCATCCCCATGATTGGCATCACATCACGTCGGCGCCGATATGAAGGATGCCCGCAGCTTTGATGGCACATCCACAAGACTGTAATCGCTTCGAGCATGTCAATAGTAGGGATAGGCATGATCTCGACGCTGGCATGGCAAGTGGCAGTACGAGGGAGCAGGTCGGCCAAAGATCGTGGGAGCACGAGGAGGGAGGGAGGAGGAGGAACAAAAAGGAAGAGGAGGACGAGGAGGAGAAGGAGGAACAAAAGGAAGGGGATGAGGAAGTCGGTTAAATATCACGGGAGGACGAGGAGGAAGGGAGGGAGGAGGAGGAGGACAAATAGGAGGAGGAGGAGGAGGAGAAGCAAAAGGCAGGGGATGAGGAGATTCGTTGTCGGCGTCGCCGCGGACGGTGTCCGTTTTCGACAGAGGACCGCCTACCTCACAGCGCCCGCTGTTGGTCTTGGACAGTATTTGTTGTTGGGCATCGTACCCATTTCAGGGCGCTTTCCGACTCCTCCGGGCAGATTCGAAACGATTTCCCAGGGTTCCGACTCGATCCGACTCGATGCGAACATTCCGATTCGCGATTCCGATTTCGAGTTCGCCCGATCCGACTCCTGCCGATTCGATGCGTCTGCCGACTTCTGCCGATTTCCTGCCGATCGGGCTTCGCTCCGGCTCTTGGATGGTTTAGAAAAGGCGGAGGAGGAGGAGGGGGAGGAGGGGGAGGAGGAGGAGGAGGAGGAGGAGGAGGGGCAGCCAGGTGCTCACGTGCGTCCTGGAGCGCCCTGGGGCCACGGATGGGCGCTTTCCTCGTGGCCACGGCTGCGTCCTCCTCGAAATGTTTGCCCGAACGGTCCGTCCCGCGGTCCAGGGGGTCCGTCCCACGGTCCGGGGGGTCCGTCCCACAGACCGGGGGGGGGGGAGTCCTGGGTCCTCGGGGGGTCTGTCCCACAGACGGGGGGGGGTCTGCGCTCCACAGCGGGGGGGGGTCTGTTCCACAGACGGGGGGGGGGTCTGTCCACAGACGGGGGGGGGTCTGCCCCACAGACGGGGGGGGTCTGTCACAGACGTAGGGGTCTGTCGCAGACGGGGGGGGGGGTCTGTCCCACAGACGGGGGGGGGCGGTCTGTCACAGACGTAGGGGTCTGTCACAGACGTAGGGGTCTGTCACAGACGTAGGGGTCTGTCCCACAGACGGGGGGGGGTCTGTCCCACCCACGTAGGGGTCTGTCACAGACGTAGGGGTCTGTCCACAGACGTAGGGGTCTGTCCACAGACGTAGGGGTCTGTCCACAGACGGGGGGGTCTGTCCACAGACGGGGGGGTCTGTCCACAGACGTGGGGGTCGGTCCACAGACGGGGCGGTTTGCCCCACAGACGGGGGGGTCTGTCCCACAGACGGGGGGCGGTCTGTCCCACAGACGTGGGGGTCTGTCCCACAGACGGGGGGGTCCATGCCACGGTCCGCTGGGGGTCCCTTGGGGCCCTTTGCAACGACGCGCGTGCGACGTTTATGATGACGTGCGACGGAGAGCGACGAAAATGCATGCGACGACGTTCGCGACGACGTGCGATAACGTGCGACGACGTCTTCCCTCCCAGCCTTCCGATTTCGATTTCGATCCGGCTTGACGGGATCCGGTTTCCGACTCGATCCGACTCGGCCCTGCCGACTCCTGCCGATTTCGACTTGGCAGCCGATTTCTGCCGATTCCTGCCGATTCGATGCCTCGGTCGACCCGATCCGGCTTATCGATTCGATGCTGGGGCCGCCTGCATTTCTTGTGTACCCATTTCGGGAGTCGACATAGGTTTGTTTGGCCCCAGGGCGCCTGGGCCTTGTCACTGGCGATGGTGAGAAGCAGAACGATTCATGAGGCGCATGCTACGAGAAGCATTCATCAACTTCAGGGTCTGCCCACTTTCATTATCTACGTTCCAGCACTATTCTCGCAGCTGATGGGACTCACTGGGCCTTGGCAGCACGTCTGTGTAGAGGATGAATGACCCATGCGTCCTAGCAGCAGCGGTCCGCGCGCACCGTAAAACCAGCTCTAAGTTGGAAGACCGTCGTCCCACGACCTGAAGAAATGAACCGAATTGTGCAACGTGCGCGTCGGAAAACCCTTGGCGCTTCACGACACCAATGCCTGGTGCTGCATCTGCTGGGTGGCTCGGATGCACTGCTGCTTGAACAACTCCTGGGCCACAGCTTCCCCTCGCACTCGAACCATGAAGCCTGCCTTCCGAGCCTTGTCAACCTGCTTGCCCAGCTCATGGAGCATGTGTTCACAGCCATGTCCTGCATCGTCTTGAGGTTGCTGCAATCCCTCGTGCTAAAAGGATTGCGGTAGCTTCGCGTCGTGTCGACCGGCGGCGACCACTCCGCCGGTGTTCAAAGTTGAGCGCCGCCGGCGACCCAGAGTCGGTCGACGGGCTGTGTCCTTTGGGTTGCCTGAAGGTGTATCCCTTGGGAGGCCTTTCGGAAGCCTCTTGGACGCAGTTTGAAGCTTCTTGGGGGCCGCTCTGGGGCCTGTGTTTGCCTCTTGGCGGCCTCTTGCGGGTCTGCTGGTGGTCTCAGGGGCCTTTGGAGCGTAGGGCGCGATCCTCCTCTTGGGCCCTCTCGGAGCCGTCTTGGTGGCCTCTTGGGCCCTCTTGGGCCCTCTTGAGGCCTCTTGGGGCCCTCTTGGGGGCCTCTCAGGGGCCTGTTGGGACGTCTTGGAGTGTCGGAAGACCGAAACTGCAAGAACGCCAACATCTTAAAACACGCATGTGAGGAACAGTAATGGCCTCTCGGACCCCTCTTGGGAGTGCTCTTGGATGCCTCCTGGGGCTTCTTGGAGGCCCCGTAGGACGTGTGCAGGCCATCCGGAGCGTCTTGAGCCGATCGGTCGGTGATTCGAGGCCCTTTTGTACCCTCTGAAGAGCATCTCGGAGCCCTCTTGGCCCGTCTTCGGGGCCCTTTGGGGCTCGAGAAAATCATGCGGGAAGACGCACCAGGGCCTGGGAGGCACGCCAGGAGCCCCGAGAGATTTAGTGGCTAATTACACTGGCCACTGAGGGCTAAATACAGAGGACCTGAGGACACTTCAATTCGTGTCTTGCGGCATGCTGGCGGATAGACAGTTCATTTGTGCATGCACCTCCATGCAGACATATATTCATACATAGTTATGCACATGCACATACACATACACATGCACGTGCACCTACACAAATAGACATATACATACGCATGCACGTTTGCATGTCCATTGTGACACAGGCGTATACATGCACAACGGTTCACAAGTATAGATATAACGATGCACATGCACCCATGCACGTGATACCAACACCTTCAAAACTACACATGAGTCCATACATACATATACGAACGTATGTGCATATACATTTGCGAATGCTCGTATAGTTACAAGTATGGCCACCTGCACATGTACAGATACATATGTGTATGTCTCTCTCGCTCTCTCGTTCTGCTACTCATCTCCGTGATCATGCGTGTACTGTTTCGCTCTGGCGGACATCCTATACATGCGAGCGGCCGGCATCACTTTGCTGAAAGGCGCTCATCACTGTGCCAGTCACCGTTGGCGCTGAGGCAGCTGCTCCTGTTCAGGAAAGTGTATCAAGTGGATTTCTGGATGTGGGTTTCCATATTGACATTGTAACGAGTGTAGTTGTTATGCTCGTCAGCAGCTTGGTTGGTACTCTGGCAGAAGGCAGAGGATAGGAAAGCATGTGAGAGACTATTCGAGGGACCTTGCCTGGAAGAAGGCGTGTAACTTGGAAGAGATGGATGGTATACAAAAGGGAAGATAAATGCATGGCAGACAACCGTTCGCAATGCCGTTTGTACACCCCATCGGTCACGTACGATGTTTAAGGTCGAGAAGGACGATGGGAAGGATGAGGGCAAGGAGGAGTAGGAGGAGGTGCAGGTGACAGGGGATAAGGAGAATGACGACGATGGTCAGAAGCTTAGTCATGCAGATCTAGGGAACTTGAGAGCTTAATGGGACAGGTTGTTTGAAGAGGTCCAGAGGGAAATCTGCGGAATTGTTCAGGGTGTTCGGACTATCTTGGGATGTCCTGGGGCCTTGTGGTGAGGTCTTGGGGATGTTTGGGAAGATCTTGAGGTTGTGAGGGGTCAGCTGTTGGGCCGTCTTGGGCCTCCCCAGAGATAGGTGGTCTCTGCCGGAGCCGTCTTGGGGCTCCGGAAGCTTGCCGCCGCGAGACCTTGCAACACCTTCTGGAGACCATCTCAAGTCGATGAGCGTGGTTTGCGTAAGTCATGCGTGCAATCAGGAGGCCCTCCCGCGCCATCTTGGGTGCATCTATTGGGGAGAGTCGTTTGTCTGTTGGGGCCTGGAGGGGCGCCCTCGCGCCGCATGGAAGCCGCATTGGGGGAAAGCAGACGATCGTATTCCCCTTCGTCGTCATCGTCCTTGCTGCCCTCCTCCCCCTCCCCCTCCTGCTCCTCCTCCTCCCCCTCCTCCTCCTCCTCCTCCTCCTTCTCCTCCTCCTCCTCCGCCCTTCCCCCCGTCCTCCTCCTCCTCCTCCTCCTCCTCCTCCTCCTCCTCCTCCTTCCTCCAACATGAAGATCGTGCCACCCCAGATGACGCGTGGCAACATTTTGTGGATGAGATACGAAGTATTGCAATTTGTTTTTCTCAGAAGTACAATGGGGCGGGTCGACAATTCCGAGCAGCCAGAGAAGAGCAGCGAGGTCAAACGAGACAGCGCGCGCAGCTCCGATTTCAGCTCGGCCAATTACCACCCAGTGATTGTGAGAAGGTGCAGGCGTCACTTCGGCAACTTCAGCAACACATCTTGAGAGTCACCAAGGGACTCAGACCTCTGCAGCAGCAGCCAGAGGCCGAGCATATTGAGTGTCTGGGACAACTGATACAGGAGGCATGGGATCGCAACGATTACAACCTGGTGCATATATTGGCTCGAAGATTGGCGGCGACATCGGTTGGGCCAGGCAGGCGCTTCTACAATGTACCAGCAGCGTCCAACCCGTCAGTAGAGATGTGGACTCATCATATTGCGCAGCCTGGTTGGCAAGGAGGCCAGTCAGTTACCCAGGTTGACGACACCCAACAGCTCCCCGAGGCGCGCAAGCAGAACCACGATGGGCAGCACCTATGGAACCTCGCCTTTAAAGACGAGACAGAGCGTGACCTTCGTGGAGTTCGTGCAGCGATCCGGAGACCAGAGTACAGAAAGATTGTGCCGCCATGGCCGCTACCAGCTGAAGTCTTTCGTCTGCTTCTCAATCCCACTGAACGCGACCCCAAGCGCAAGGACACGCAACACGAGTTTGAGAGAACTGCTCCAGACACGCAGTGGTTCGATCGTCTTCGTGGCATACGGTGGCGCACGAGAGGACTTTCTCGTGTACCGCTCGCATGGTACAGATCATGGGGAGCATGCGTAACGAAGCCAAGTACACAGACGGGCTTCAAGGCAGTGCGCCTCATACATAGACTGTGTCCGTTCAGTAAGGCGATGGTGAGACATATTGAACGGCGCGGAGTGGTCACATTTCCAGAGAAACAGTACCTTCACAGTACGCATGGGGGGATTGCGCATCGATGACGAGAGGCTGCAACCCGAATCCATCCCAGCACAGGGTGGAGGCTCACACAAGTGGGGGTCTCACATGCAGCAGTATTCTAGTACCAGACGAACGCGTTTGGCAGCATTTCCATGAGGCAATGGACGATATTGGCTATCAGTGTTACGACGCATACGATGCGTGGCATGGTGGGCTCAACAACAGATTCAGCTATGTGTGTATTGATGCGGCTGGCGGCAGTGGGCATTACCACATTGGAGAGGGAATACTGCAGGGCCAACAGGGTGCATCGAGCAAGAACAATCGCGTGTTTCAGCGCCGGGTGCTCGAACCTTGGCTACAACAGTGGGCAGCGACACCAGATGGAGCTCAGCTACTACGCGCCAGCCCGTGCCATGAGGAGGCTGCTGACCTATCCACCACGGCATTCATGGATGGTGTGGCCCACAAGGTCATTGGTGCATCGAGTGGCTGACTTGCGTCCCGCGCAGAGGAGGCAGGTAAACAGCTGGCCGATCAGCTGTGGACTGCGGGCAGTTCGTTGAACCATGCCGAGCAGCAGATCGTGCCCAAGTTTGTGGGCCGATGGGGCTGTTCGGCGGACTCGCGAGCTCTCGATGATGGCGGATCTGGCAGGCGCGGTTGCACCTGCAACCATGTAGCTTGGAGCGCAGCATTTGCATTCCAGCCAGAGCGCACATCGGCGCGCAATATGTTTGAAGAATATGCGCCGCGCCTGGCACTGCATGGGCATATGTTGGTTGGCTCGCATTGTTCCTTCTCGCCTCAAACAGCTGCGGTTCCAATGCCAAGTTCGGGCGGCAGGGCCCGGTGGTCTCGAACCATGTCTCGCTACTGCCAGTGATTATCGTCCTTGGGGTTATAACGTCTTGGGGTGGGGTGAGAAACTCTTGGGGCGGTCGTGCAGTTATCAAAGTGGCACAAGCTGACGGAGCAGTCAAACACAGAGCCCTTCCTCCCGTCAAGGTATGGTGACTCGGGACTTGCGCTGTCTCGATTGGGGCTGACGGTTCGACGCCCGAGTTGGCTGCGATCGCTTGCAGCCCACCGAGATAGTCATGTTCAGCTGCTGGTCGCCATGGCTGAGCGCATCCCAGCTGAGCAACGCAACGCGGCGGAGGGTGGGCGGCTGGTGCGCGATGAAAACAATGGATGCCATGGGAACCCCTGGGCGTTGCGGGCATGCAATGACATGCTGCCAGTGGAACGCGTGGCGAGACGAGGTGCGCTACTACTTGGGCTAGCAGGAAGACCCCTGCGAGTTGTTGAAGATGGGTTTCGAAACGTTTTCATCGAACTGAATATCGGAAGCCTTCGGGAGCGTCGCTTGGGGGTGGGTGGGTGTGGGGGGGGGGGCTAGGCGAAGGGCGCGACTGCGCGGAGCGCCCGGGGGATGGGGGGCCCCGTGCAGCCCCGGGGGGGCGGACTTGAGGATGGCGGGGGACATGGGGGGGCGGGGGGCGAAGGGGGAGGGCGAGAAAGAGGCCCTGAAGGTCCAGTCAAGCCACCTGTTGCCCCACCAGCGCCCGTCTGGACTTGCGAGGGGCTCCGAGAAGATGGGGCCCCGCGCGGCCTCTCGTTCCAGGGCCGCGTTGCTGGGTTTCCCCGCGCGGGGTTCTCCAGGGGGGGGGCGCGCATGGACATGTGGCCCTCAGTGATGTCCTCGCAGTCGCCAGCCAAGGCCCATGCTGCGTGTCCGCGCTGTCCGCTCGGCCCACTGCTCCGCAGCGCGTTCGACGGCTCTTCTTTTCCCATGGGTGTCAGGCTGGCAGTGGGCGTTGCCAGCGCCCAACCGCCCAGCCAGACACCCTTCGCTGCCCTGCGTGCGGCCGTTGCCAGGATAGTTCGGGGGCCAATCAGGTTCGCGTTCGCAGTCGCGCCGCGCTGGATTCCGTTGCAGACTTTCGACGGGCCGCGAGGTGAGCTGGATGTCGGGAGATCTGGGGCTTATTTTTTGGGGGGCCAAGAAACGCCCGGCCAGCTCTCGGGCGTGGATCGACCGCGCCGACAGCGCAACCAGCAAGCAGCCCCGCAGGGGGGCGCGGGATCAGCAGCAGCAGCAGCCACACTCACCGATATGGAGATCACGGGGTCCGACTCAGAGCACGAGACGGCGCTGAACACGGCCAAGGGTTTCCTCAATGTACACCAGCGGGCCCAAGCATTGGAAGGGCGTCGGATGTCTGACCACCTCGCGCCGAAGGAGTGCGTGGTCGACACTCGCGCAGTAGGAGCAGCGCGCGTGTGCAGGAACAAGCGCGAGGACGATCCCAAAGGTCAGCTGGGCCCACCGTCGCCGATGGTCGCTGCGGCAGTCTTCTAGGCCCTTCTGGCGCAGCAAGTCGCCCGGGGCAGTCTGCAACTCAGGGCGGAGTGCCAGGGGCCCATGGGCCTCGTGCAGATGGAAACCGCAGCAACATATATCAAGCACTGGGGGGCAAGACTACGTTCGCGAAGGAGGGCGGGGGGGGGTCCGAGCGCGGCGCACTTTCTACATCCATGCTTTCGTGCCCATCGGAGGCCCCCCGAATGTGCTGATCCTGCCCGCCAGCCTCCTGATCAGCAAGCGGCTGACACCCCCGGGGTCGGAGATCACGCTGGGCCCCCCCCGCCGCGGGCCACCGCGGAGAGGAAGCGCCGGAACCCCTTAGAGAAGATGCCCAGGGGCCGCAGTCACAGGAGGCGCTGAGGACCCAGAGGGTAGGTAGAGCCCAGCCACTGCAGTCTTTTTCAGAGAGAGAGGTAGAGTTCGTTTCTCGGGATCTTGGGACCCACCAGAGGCTCCACCCAAGAACAGGCCCCGAGGCAAAAGTAAGGGCAAGGGTTGGCGATAGTTGAACCAATTCAAATTTGTTGTGCGGCTTCTCTCCTTTTCTCTCTGCCCCTTTCTGGCCTGCGTGCTGTGCCTGTGTGGTGTTGCGGCGTGCGTTGGTGGTGGCCCTGGCCTCCCCCCCTTCCCCCCTCTCCGTGGGTGTCGTGCTCTGAGATGCTTTGCTTCTCACACCTGGGCTAATGTCGAACGGCACTTTGCGGGATGATTACGTTCAGCCTCTCGGCCTTGACGTTATCCAGGGTGTCCCCATGATTGGATAACCAGTCGTGGTGGGGGTGCCGAATTTTGAATCGTGCTCAAGGTTTTTTTCCATTGTTGATGCGCACAGCGGCCGAAGTGCAAGCTACAGGGAGGATGCTGCAGATATCGCAGTCTGACAGCCAGCCAGCCAGCCAGCTTCCTCCTCCTCCTCCTCCCTCCTCTTCCTCCTCCTCCTCCTCCTCCTCCTCCTCCTCCTCCTCCTCCTCTTCCTACGGCAGCAGAGGGCGCCAACGCGCGGCCGCTTCCTGCCTCCCTCTCGGTTTTTTCGTGTTCGTGATCCTCTTACCGATTGCCTCATTTCATTCCATCTCGTCTCATCGCATCCCATCTCATCTCATTTCATCGCTCGTTAGGTCGGGCACGCCCCCTCCTCCCTACAGGAGGAATGTTCACGCCCCCCCCCATACAGGGGGAACGTTCAAAACTAATCAATCCAGTCTTAAGTATTTACACACACATATATTTATATAATTATGTGTATACATATATTATATATATATATATATATATATATATATATATGTAAACCGGTTGTGTATATATATATATATATATGTATATCATGAACTAGTTGAGGGTGGTTGTCCTCTTTTGTGTGTGTGTGTGTGGTTCAAGATCTGCCTGTAGGATGATATGCCCGACCTGAGTGTCGTTTCGCCTCCCCCGGGGATGGGTGGATGTCTGCCATCGCCTTCCGACTGGGAATTTCCTGACCATTCTGAGGCTGATCAGGCGAGCCGCCACGGTCGCTCCGTGCAGCACGCCAGTCGACCCGCCCATCCCCCGCGGACGTCTCGTGCGATCGCGCGGTCGTCTCGGGGGTATCGTCTACGGGGTCTGTGATGCAGGGGTCGCATACAGCTGGGGCCCATGCCAAGAAACACCCTGCTGCCTCCAGTGTGCCCTGGGATTCTTGGGTTTCGATGGTTCCGTTGGTTTTGAAATGGAAAACGTGACGTTCCCACACCAAAAAATCAAAAGACGTCCTGGGGTCTTAGGGCTGGCTTTTGTTGTGGAAGATTTCTTGTGGTCGGGCCCCCACTGTATCTCCAGAGTGGTCACAGGTGGCGTACTGAGATTGACGTTGCTGCCCTTCGTGCCCTCCCGGGCCTGTCAGAACCCTTCGGCTGCGGCTCGAGGGGTCTTCTCGACCCCTTCCCCGACGCTGTCCATTTCCGGGGACTATTTTGACAGCCCCTGGGCGAGAGCGTCGGGGGCGACGACCAGAAAGGGTGGGGGATTCGATGCCGGGGCCATGCAGTCCTCCCCCCCCGGGCTTCATTGCCCCTCGGCTGATTTCAAGGCGTCCCCTGCCCCCCCCCCCCGCCTCGTCCGCGCACGTGCCTCGGGCCATGACCTGCGACCTCCTCTCTGTCTCTCTCTCTCTCTCTCGGAGAAGAAGGAGGAGGAGGAGGAGGAGGAGGAGGAGGAGGAGGAGGTGGAGGAGGAGGAGGAGGAGGAGGAGGAGGAGGGGAGGGGGAGGGGAGGGGGAGGGGGAGGAGGAGGAGGAGGAGGAGGAGGAGGAGGAGGGAGGAGGAGGAGGAGGAGCAGGAGGGGAGGAGGGAGGAGGAGGAGGAGGAGGAGGAAGAGGGCGAGGAGGGCGAGGACGACGAGGACGACGAGGAAGAGGACGAGGACGACGAGGACGACGAGGACGAGGAGGAGAAGGAGGAGGAGGGGGAGGAGGAGGACGAGGAGGAGGAGGAGGAGGAGGCGGAGAAGGAGGCTGAGGAGGGGGGGGGGGTCTGGCCCAGGGCGGGAAGCATCGATCCCCGATCGCCCATTCCTCGCCGCTCGGGGCCCGCGGGTGCCCCACACCTGCCCGGGGCCATGGGGCGTAGGAGGTCCCCGTCGGGGGCCTGCCCCCCGATCCATCGGCGATGTACCGCCGATTCACATGCGGTGTTCACCCCGTGGCACCGCCCGGACGCGTGCCTGTGTTTGGTGGCGGGAACCACCCAGGAGCCTTTGGGGCCATCCTGCGAGGCAACACGCGCGCGAAGCCGAAACATGCAGGGGGAGTGGACGTCCGAGCGACGGGGCGTCGTCGTCGTCGTCGTCGTCGTCGTCGTCGTCGTCGTCGTATTCGACGCCCTCGAGAAGAGGGCAAGCGGGGCTCTCCCCCGAGACCAAGCACGTGGCCTTGCGAGTCGGCGTGGAGGGCAGCTACTCCCAGGAACTGGTCGTGTTTCCGAATGCGAAGGCGCCTCTGCGCAGAGTGGGGAGGAGGGAACGGGGGCAGAGGATACAGGACGGTGCGGGAGGGGGGTGGATACTTGCCGATTGCACAGCCTCGTGGGTAGGTGGACCCTGTGGTCAGGAAGCAAGTAAATTGATAGGGAGGTCTCACCGCACTAGTTCCCGGAGGCGCGTGCGGTTCTGATGACAAAGTCGAGTGAGCGCCGCGGCAGGGTGAAGGACCAGGGACGAGATGAGAAGGGCTAAAGGAAAGGCAGACTGATGCGCCCCCAGGAGGGGGAAGCCGACCTAGGGGGGTCCACTCGGGGAAGGAGCTAGGGTCCCTCCAGCCACCGCTGTTGCCGAGCCCAGCTCCTCCTGTTCCTCCTCCTCCTCCTCCTCCTCCTCCTCTTCCTCCTCCGCATGCATGCGCCCTCGGCTCAGCGGGCTGGAGGAACGGCGTGGCGCCCCAGGGTTATTGCTATTCCCATTCCTCCTCCTCCTCCTCCTCCTCCTCCTCCTCTTCCTCCTCCTCGCTCCTCCTCCTCCTCCTCCTCCTCTCCTCCTCCTCTTCGCCCTTCTCCTCCTCGCCCTCCTCCCGCCCTCCTCCTTACCCTCCTCCCCTCTTCTCCCCCCCCTCCCTCCCGTCCCTCCACTCAGCCGCCGCTCTTCGCCGCCGGCCTGCTCGCGAGAGCTCGCCCGAGCGGTTCGGGCGGCAGGCGGCCGCAGAGAAAGCACGCACGGCACGCCGGCACGCCGCGAGGCACGCCTAGAGGCACCATGCGTGAGCAGAGCCGCGGTGGAGGAGGAGGAGGAGGAGGAGGAGGAGGAGGTGGAGGAGGAGGAGGTGGAGGAGGAGGAGGAGGTGGAGGAGGAGGAGGAGAGAGAGAGAGAGAGAGAGAGAGAGAAAATGAGGGCGGCGAGGAGGGGGGTCGGGAGGAGGAGGAGGAGGAGGAGGAGGAGGAGGAGGAGGAGGAGGAGGAGGAGGGAGGAGGAGGAGGAGGAGGAGAGGGCCTTCGCTCCGCCAGCCGGGCGCAGCTGGCGAAGTCGGAACGGCCGCGGCGGCTGCCACGATGACAGCAACGATGAGCTCCACCACGACGACGTCCACGGCGATGCTTTCGACAGCGTCGCGGTCCAAGCCAGCCAGGATCGGGTGCGGGGGGAGGCGGAGGAGGAGGAGGAGGAAGAGGAGGAGGAGGAGGAATAACAGGAGGAGGAGGAGGAAGAGGAGGAGGAGGAGGAGGAGGAGGGAGGAGGAGGAGGAGGAGGAGGAGGAGGAGGCGGAGGAGGAGGGAGGAGGAGGAGGAGGAGGAGGAGGAGGAGGAGGAGGAGGAGGAGAGGAGGAGGAGGAGGAGGAGGAGGAGGAGGGAGGAGGTGGAGGAGGAGGAGGAGGAGGAGGAGGAGGGGGAGGGGGAGGGGGAGGAGGAGGAGAAGGAAGAGGAGGAGGAGGAGGAGGAGGAGGAGGAGGAGGAGGAGGAGGCGGAGGAGGGCGGCGACAGGAGGGCGGCGGCAGGAGGAGCGAGGAGGAGGGAGGGGAGGAGGGAGGAGGAGAAGGAGGAGGAGGAGGAGGAGGAGGAGGAGGAGGAGGAGGAGGAGGGAGGAGGGAGAAGGGAGGAGGGATGGAGTTGGGAGGGAGGAGGGGTGAAGGAGGCGCGTCTCCAAAGTGTCCTCCTCGTTCGGCCCGTTCAGATTTCCATTTTGCAATGGGGGGCTGGTCCCCATCTTTCGCCGCGATTTGACGCACGCTCGAAGTGATAACAGAACGGGTGTGGAAGCGTGGTTACCCAGAGGTGATTTGGGGAACATGGAGCTAAACAAGAAGCTCGATTATTGATAGAAGGGGCCCGGGTTCCCTAGAGCCCTGGCGACGTGACGACAATATGCGAAACCTTCTCGGAGAAATGGCGACCCCCGCCCGTTGCGTGAGTGGAGGCCTCAGTATTTGCGGCATGGGCCGGCTGCGCACCGAAGCTGCCGACGAGGCCTTGAACCTCCCCCCAGTCGAGCTCCTTGGCTTGGCGAGGGTGGCCAAGTATACTGCTCTTGATACTGGGCGCTGCGGTGATTGGATGTCTCCTCGAGATTTCTCGGCGGCGAGCGAGGGGGGGAAATGAGAGAGAAGGCCCTCTCAGAAGTCGACGGGACTTCTCAGAAGCCCTCGCGCTTTCTCTGAAGTTTGTTGTGTCTTCCGGGAAGGCTTAGAACACTTCTCAGAAGGCCGTGGGATTTCGAGCTTTCTGAGAAGGCCCTCATTTTGCCCCCTCGCTTCCCGCCGCAGTTCGTTATGCTACATACGAATGTCGACGCATGTGTAGCCATTTCGAAAGCTGCGAGCCTTGGTCACGAGAGCTGGGTGGAACATCAAGACCGTCTCAAGATATCCCTATCTGAACGCACGCTGTCGGACACCCAGGGTAAGTGATCAAAGAGACTGCCGCTGTGGAAGCCAGAATTCCGCACGTCGTCCTGGCGACGAACCCGCAGGCCGGTGAAGAGGTTGGCCGACGTGTAGTAGTTCGCCGTTTCTCGTCAGGCGATTCCCCAAGTTGCACCACCCCCTCGGCCTAGCCAGGCAGCTTCTTCACTGCCGGCAGGTGACCGCTCCTGGCAGGGAGTGGATGTCAGGCCGCTCTGCTCTGCTCTGCCTCACGAGGCCCTCCAGCAGCTCTGCGACCTTTTCAATGCCGTTGGATAGTCGAGCGCGTACTTCCCTGCACAGGCGCATTGAACCATTGATCAGAGCCCCGAATCATCAGGGGTAACTCGGGTCAGGGATAACTCGGGTTCGTTTTTCGGGAATCCGAACCCGACTTACTCCGGACCCGACTTACCCTGGATAGTTCGGGCGTCCAGAGCCCCGAATCATCAGGGGTAACTCGGGTCAGGGCTAACTCGGGTTCCCTTTTCGGGAATCCAAACCCGAGTTACCCCGGACCCGAGTTACCCCGGATAACTCGGGCGCCCAAATTGAACTCTATGAAGAGGGGGGGCGCGACACTCCCCGCACCCTCATCTTCTCCTGAGCACAATCCCCCTTTCAGCTCGCACGACACGCAGAACAAATCAGTACCACTCTGGGGAGCGGTGCGGGATTCGAGACACGAAGAGTTCGAGCCCACGGGGAGGGCTAGTCTACAGGATCACACGTAGCACACCGAGGACTCGAGCCCCACGAGAGTGGCATCTACGGGAACGCACGAGCGGCGCAGGACTCGAGCCCAGGTCGAGGGACGATCTGTAGGAAGATAGAACTCGAAAACGCATCGCCCCCTCCCCCTCCGCCTCCCCCTCCCCCTCCTCCCCCTCCTCCTCCACCTCCTCCTCCTGTCTCCTCGTCCTCCCCCTCCTCCCTCCTCCCTCCTCTCACCTCCCTCATCCCTCCTCCCTCCTCCTCCTTCGTCTCCTCCTTCTCCTCCTCCTCCTCCTCCTCCTCCTCCTCCTCCTCCTCCTCCTCCTCCTCCTCCAGGAGAAGGGCGGTCTGCAGGAGCAGATGCAGCGCACGGAAAGGACTCGAGCTTCAGGATTTGGCGCGGCGAAGCCACGAATGGGGGCGAAGCCTATGGGGGCGAAGCCTGCCAGGGGCCCCAGAAAGCACCCCGACCACGTGCTTCTCGATGCAGAGACGTATGCCCCGGAGTCTCTTGGGGCCTGCTGGGGCCTCTTGAGGCCTGCTGGGGCCTCTTGAAGCCTCCTGGGGACGGCGTGCGTTGGCGTGGGCCTTGCCACTCATCTTCGTTGCCCTCGGGCTCATCCTGGTGGTCGGCGCGTTGCTCACGGAGTTATTGGTGGGGGGCCTGCTCGAGGTGGACGGTTGAGCTCAAAGAAGTCACGGGGCCGAGGGGGCCGCAGAGAGCGCTCCCCGAGCACGCATCCCAGTGCAGAAGGGTGTCTTCTGGGGCCTCCTGGGAGTGGAGGAGGAGGAGGAGGAGGAGGAGGAGGAGGAGGAGGAGGAGGAGGAGGAGCCCCTCTCACGGCCCATCGCCTCTCCTCCGCCTCCGCCATGGCTCGTCCCGCGCTGCCGCCGCCCGAGAAAAGCCCCTGGAGCAGCGGCAAGGCTGCTCTGACGGATTTCCCTGTGCGGCTGACTCGCGAAGACGTCTCAAGTGAAGCGGCCGTTCCGGCATCCGCGGATGGCAGCCAGAATGTGCGCGCTGAAGTGCGAAGAAATCTCAGGCGAAAAGGGCGCCCCGGCATCCGCGAGTAGCAGCAACCTCTTGGGGCCTCCAGGGGACCTCTCTGTGCCTAGAGCTCGAAATGTCCGTTCGGGTCCCCCGTCTGGGCCCGCTCTTGGAGCCGTCTTGGGAGCCTCTTCGGCCATCTTGGAGGCCTCTGGGGCTGTCTTGGGGCCCTCCGGGGCCGTTTTGGGTGTTCTTGGAGGCCTCTTGGGCCGTGTGTGGGGGGGGGGGGGGGGGCGATCCTGGAAGCCTCTGGGGCCGTCTGACAGCCCTGGTAAGCCGAAAAGACGAGAACGCCAACAACCTTCAAAGACAAAAGGAAAATCGCAAATGTCTGCCTCTGTGGGCCCTCCTGGGAGGTCTCTTGGGGTCCTCTTGGGGCATCTTGAAGGCGCGTTGGGCTGTCTGGAGGCCGTCTTTGGCGTCTCGGCTCGGCGCTCTCTTAGAGGCCACGTGGAGCACTCCCAGAGCGCTCTTGGGAGCCTGCTGGGACCTGGCCTTCAGTCGGGCCTGTCCTTCTACAAGGGAAACATTCAAGAATGGTAAAAATAGTCTGGGGACGATTTGTTAAACTATTTCTGGCTATGTCTGGGCATTTTTTGATTAATTGTTCGCCCAAAATTCAAACATGGCCAGGGCCTGGACGGGACTTTGCCGGGACCTTGCCGGGGCAGTTTTCGTTTGGGAACCCACAGGGGCGGCCCCGCGCGCGCGAAGTAGAAATATTGTTAACCAGTTGCCAGAGATCTTCGCACGCCCCTGGCCCGTTGGGCCGGCGAATTTCCAATGCATGATGATTCGACAATCAGTTTACCCTCACGCACCACACTTTTACATGCCACGTGCA